AAAAAAAAAAAATCGTTTTTTTTTTCTTCTGTTTTTTCTAGGAGGTAGGGTCGGGGTTCCGGAACCCCAATCCGCAACCCCCATCCCCAAACCCCTCCCCCTGTGGTCGCTACGCAGCCACAAAAGTTGCTGCAGCTACGGTCATGACTGCGAGGTAGCGGTCATGACTGCAACCGCGGTCGTGAATCCGCGGCCGGCGGGGATTCGTAGGTTGGGATGCTTGTCCACCAGCAAAGAGTCGAAGGCCAGTAAAACCTACTGTAATAGTAATGGATGAGGAAAGCAAATTGAGTAATGGTAGCAATTTAAGCCACCAGTACTTCCCGAAGTCACGGCCATATACAAGTCGCGATGCGTTGGGCCGAACGGGCCTGGCGGCTCAGGTTCAAGTTCATTCAAGTGGAAATGTTGTGGCTCTATTGTTTGCTGCGGCTGATGTATGGGTGAAGTACTGGTGTTTTAATGTCGGCATTAGTCCTTTTTTTCTTGCCCATAAAATGACAAGGAATGGCAGCGGTAGGCCATCAAATTAAGAAGATTGATTATGACAGCACCTGGAGATGTCATGTGTGCTATCAGCCTATCACTGCTGTGACTCTGACGACACCATCATGCTCATTTTATGCTGTTCGATATCTTTTGCATGTACTGATTTTAGGCTCAGACGCGGCTCAGTACTTGATTATGCACAAGATGTGACAACGAGCTCATACTAGAGGCCGGGGATTGCAAAGAAGAAGCAACTATGGTTTAATCTTCTACTTATCGGCAAGATCTTGCACCCCTGGTCACCTGGTGGGATGCCCAGTCCCGAGCTGGGGTGGCCCATGGCTGGTGGAGCAACGGTGCACGAGGTGCCCATAATGTTGAGAAGGATTACAAGGGGAGGGGAGAAAGAGGAGAGTGAGAGAGCGGCGAAGGGAAAAAGAGCAAGGATAGAGTGTGTGGTGATGTCGGATCAGGTCCGTCCATGAATGGTGAAGATATATAAAAGGGACAGAGGAAAGAAGAGAGCCAGGGTAGCGTTCGACGAAAGGAACTTTGTGCGGTCTATGAGGATGTTGATGTGCTGATGGTGAGGCGTGTTACAAGGAGAGGGATGAAGGGGAGAGAGAAAGAGCAAGAGAAGCGAGCTCATTCTGTTTGGATCTGTCAAAAGTATCAATCATAAGGCAGGCCTGAGCCCTGGCCGCCTGGGGCAAAGGGGGGAAGTGGGGGGGGGGGGGGGGGGGGAGAGAGAGGGAGGGGGGGAGGGGGGGGGGGAGGGGGGGGGGGTAAGAGAGAGAGAGAGAGAGAGAGAGAGAGAGAGAGAGAGAGAGAGAGAGAGAGAGAGAGAGAGAGAGAGATCATCTTCGGTTGGTTTACAAAGATGTCGGAAGGAGCAGAGTCAACAGACAAATCAGCTGATACCAGAGTGGTTGTCCAGGAGAGAGACAGTACGCAGGACCAAGGTGTGATAGTCGCCAACAGTCACGGGCATTCATGCGGACACACTCATTATGGCCATAGGGCGGCATGGCTACGAGCGGCGGTGCTAGGGGCCAATGACGCACTAGTAACAACTTCGTCACTCATGTTGGGAGTGGGAGCAGTGGAGGAAAAGGGCAACTTCATGATCATATCTGGACTGGCAGGACTAGTTGCAGGTGCATGTAGCATGGGAATTGGAGAGTACGTGTCTGTGCACTCACAAAGAGACACCGAGAAAGCTGATCTGGAAAAGGAGCGGATTGAGCATGAGAAGGGTCCAGAATCGCGAGCTCGAGAGCTGGAAGAATTGACACAGGTAAGACCACACTTCGATGGCTCCGCACTTTGATGGCTGTTCATGGCAAGATCGCAACACACCTCAATCCTTTACCTCTGCTTCCATGGTGATGCTCATGGCCATGCCTGTGGCGATGGCGGTAGTAGGAGTCGAAGGCAGTATTAAGAACAAGAAATTTAAAAGTTTATGGTGAAGGTGGTACCCACTGGTATGAGCAATGAACGGAAACCAAATCCCTACACTTATAAAAATCGCTAATGTCTGAATTCTGAAATCCGGGCCGTCGTTGGACCTACCGGCCCGACGGCCCGGGGCTCGGTCCCACTTACGTCTTTCGTTGTAGCTGCGTACAACGGAGCGACCGGTAGCGGCGCCGTGGGACTGTTGATTGAGGCGGATCGTACGGTCCTCCAAATGTGGCAACGTCAGGCACTCGGTTGCGGTGGATACCGTTTCGGTGGACTTCGTTTACTGGACGTTCGCACTACCGTTTGCCCGTGGTTCGTTGTAGCTAGGTACCTTTTATGCACCGGGGTACATGGCTACAACGAAGAATTTTTCTCATTTGGATTCCTAGTTGCCTTGTGAAAATCTTGTCTACGGTGAACCTCGTCCACTGCTCGCCGCATTTCTCAGTGAATCTGTGTTGCCGCCCCTTGCGCTGACAGCTACGTTACTGTCAGGGGTGAAGCAGCAGAGGTGGGCGGAGGATGTGGACGTCCATCTACGCTCCCCTAATCTGGATCTGTCCACAAAAACAATGAAAATTAGGCTCTTGAAATGTGCACAATGAGAACGAACTTCCCGCTTGAACACTGGCAGATGCACCCGTCACATTTTTTTCTTTCTCAAATTTTGGCAAATGCACCCGTCACATTTTTTTCTTTCTCAAATTTTGAGAGTGGCGAGGCCCTTTATCCCAATGTCTTTCGAGAGCAGCGCCCGAAGCCTGGAGACGATGCCAGTAAAGGCAGGATCGTTCGCAGATGCACTGTCTCTGTCGATGTCGTCAAGGACGGACAGGAGGAGGCAGACGAAGCAGGCGACGAGGAGGTGGACCACTCCGTCGCCGTGAAGAACGAGTTATCAGGTGGCTGTTTTTTGTCACTGCCGGACATGGACGGGGTCTTAACACCGTCGGACAAAGGCAGATCCTCCCCAGCTGCCACCTCCATCTCAGCAATGAAAGCAGCCTGTCTCTGTGCCTCGCCACCCCATTCTCCAAATGTGAGAAAGACAAAACTGAGGCGGGTGCATCTGGCAATGTTGTAGCATGAAGTTCATTCTCATTTTGCACATTTCGAGAGTGGTGTGGCGATGTCCTCTGTCTCTCCGAAGTCATTCTATCAGCCATCTGTTGCCGCTCCATCCGCGTCCAAGGGTTGTATGTCCACATAGCGTAGCCGCCCTGTGATCGGATTCCTGTACCGAGCTCGATTAGGATCCCTTATGCAACGACGACATCCTCCCTGCCCCGTGAGTGGATCCCAGTACTGACGTCGGTTAGGGGTCCTTCCCCCATCGCCACGTCCTCCCCGCCCTGTGATGGGATCTGCGTATTGAGGTCGGATAAGAACCCATCCGCCATGACGCTGTCGTTCTTGCCGACGCCCTCGGCCGTAGCCGGTAGATGCTGCCTCTCTCAACACTGGCATCCCTCCACGTCCTCTTGTCCCTCCTTGTGCACTGTACGTGTGTTCCCATCAACAGTGCCTCCAAGGTGGACCGCGCCCCTGCCCAAGGTCCTTGCGCCAGAGCTGCTCCTCTGTCTACAACCCTGGCCCGCATTTGTTTTGCCAGCATCACCATCCGCCATTGGGGACCGTCAATGTGGTCCACACACACACACACACACACACACACACACACACACACACACACACACACAAGGTCAGACCCACACACACAGATGTTCTCGGAACTGTGTTCAATCCCTGCCCTCCCTCCTTGCTGCTCTGGCCCGTTGTCGCCTGTCATGCCACGGGGTGACGTGTCTGCAAAGTACATCACGCTTGGCCTGCCCTGCCTGCCGTTGCGCATCACCACAGGCAGTGAAATGCTTGATGCCTGCTGCCGCAGCGATGGCAATGGGCTAGAAGAGGGCAGCCGCCTTTCCTCCTCAGATCTCCGCATGCCCGGAGCAGATTGTGGAGGATGCATGCAGCCAGAAACTCTTCCCCCACCGACTTGATGTTTGTTATATGAGGCCGGTAAAAGTACTGCCACCTGAGCTTACAAACCCCGTTGCCACGCTCCGCATCAGACCCTTAAACTGCCTCATCACCCACCATCTTGGAGGTTCCCTGCCCAGGACATCGGTATCCTCTAGAAAGGCARGTAATCGGGAGATRGTTGTCCACTTGTACAACCATGACAACTGTTCGCTGCGGTTATCAGTCCATGGAGGAGCCCCTGACCAATCCGCAGTTAGCACGCCSAGGAGTGCATCCCCTGACCGTCCACTACARAGTAGCAACTGCAACGCGTCCATGGCACTGTCTAGAATCACCTTAGCAGCATCAATTACCGCCAGGATAATGTCTGGGTCTAGTCTTCGACGAATGCGGGCCATGACATACGAARKGAAACGACACACTAGAAAGGATAACACACACACACTTATTGTTCACAGAACTGTTCTCGAATTTATGTGTAGTTCGATTGCTACAGAGGATTCAGGRTTCGTTTTATCAACACTGCCTGATCCAATTCATCCTCATAGAAAAGGTGCTTATAAGAATAGTTCAGAGGAGTTCATCATAATATACCGTTGCCTAATCTGGCCTTTGTTTTATGGTCGAGGGAGCAAACTAAGAGGAGATGRCAGCATGGGATATAAAGTCATAACARAAGAATCCAATAACGAATAGACAARAAAAARRAAARARAARAAAACTTCCATGTATGTATCCCATCGCTGAGCATGATGGAGCATATCCCGTCTTGAGATATTCCTAACGTTCAATCCATTCGCTTTGGTCGTCGGACATTCCAAAGGCCAGCGGCGAAGTCCCACTAGATGCGTCGAGTTTCCCCAACGCCTGAACGTGGACCTGTTTGAGGCTATGTGCCAGTGACTTCCCTTAATGCCATTTCTGGACAACTCCACAAAAATGTCCACATTCAGGCCTTGAGGAAACTCAACGGCCGAATTCTGTGGATCGTGCCAGTCTGCCAGACTGACAGGATCAGTGTATGAGTCACATAATGAGTGTGTTTGTGCAAAGGGGGGGGGGGGAAAGAAAAAAAAAAAGGAAAATAAAGGAAAAAAACAAAAGAACAAAAAAACAAAAGAAGAAAACAAAAGATAAAAAAAAATAGGCGCGGAGTGCCATGCCAGTCTATGCATAGGAACGTGGGCAACATTTTGCATAACATCCAGGCCACCCCACTCATCCACCACTCCTTTTCATAAATCCATGCAGAAGATGAGTCCAATGAATGATCTACGGATTGGACAGGATATTCCGTCCTCGCATTGGAGCACCATAGCATGCCGTGTATGTGGCAAACTTTTGTATTTCACTAATCTTGTTTTTTTTTTTGTTTTTTTTTTGGGGTGGGGGGGGGCGAATATTGATTTATATATTTATAGTTTCCCCCATGGCTGACTGACGAAGGCAAAGGAAATCGCGTGAGACTCCAACGTGCATACCTTAGGAAATGTTGAAATGTTGAACCATGTTCGATTCCAGAGACAATCAGATGAGCACAATGAAAGAATTATGAATTGCGTGTGCTGGTTAGATAATTGTAGTACGTGTGAGGAGCGTTCATGTTGACGGCGGGTGAAAAGAAAAGGAAAAGAAAAAGGGGTAACTTCAGTAGAGTCAAAAAAASGAGTTATAATTGCAGTATTGGGCAAGATACAGTTTGCAATTGCACTTCGGGCACCCTACCTGGCCAGAAAGATGGGTTGTAAACTTTGTCGGATCTGCAATTCGAAACTGTACCTTGGCCCATAGTGCAATTAAAACTCGTTTTTGTGACTTTGTAAAAACCTAATGTCACAAATTAGAATGAAAAATAAAAAGGTGGTGTAGTAAATGAATGCCCGGACTGTCAACGCGATAGCAGGTGACATGCAGTGTTAGGCGGCAGGCTGATATTGGGGCATTGCTGCAGCTCACGGCATCAGACAAAGTGCATCCAACGGCATGTATTTTCGGTTACCTGACGGACTGTCAAACGACGCACCTAGCCTACCCCACCCACCACATTCCACTATTCAATCTTCATCACAGACGGGGAACGAGATTGATATCACGCATCTACCCTACCCAACCGTCCACATTCCAACAGTCAGTAAGGGATGGACATTGCAATAGCTACGGCCAGTCAGTATACGGCAGGCTGATATTCAGGCATGGCTGGAGCTCATGGCATCAGACATAATCTAAGGGCAGGTATTTTCCATTCATTGGGAGACTGTCAAACCACGCATCTAGCCTACCCCACCAACCAGAATCCAATATTCGATCTTCATCACGGACAGGGGAGGAGCTAGAAACCACGC